GGACCGCAGCTCAAGTCATGCAGCAACAGCTAGGAAAGACTTGGCAGGAGAAGGGGGACCGCTTGCCTTGTGAAGTAGAACATATGCTGACCCTGATGCGTGTTACTGAACTGCAGCCTCACAGCCAGCCTTGAGAAGGCTTCGCAGGGAAAAAAGAAAAAAAGCCAAGGATTTGAGGTAAGAGTGAGTTGCATGTGGTTGATAACAACACCTCAACGGGACAGTGAGTTCAGCTCTACTGAAGAACCTGACCATTTCTGTAAACTGGTATGGTGTTGCTTTTGCCAGGACAGTGTACCACTACAGGCCATCACAGTTCAAAAGCTGCTCTATCGATTCTTGGAAATGAGAAGTTGCAGTCTCATGAGAGGGGAAATAAACCTGAGTATTGCTCTCTGAGGTTTTTGAAAAGAAGCCTGGCACTTTGCAGCATTTGTACTTCAGAGTCGGAGCACAGCTGGGGCCGGCAGGCACCTCAGGAGATACCTGGGCAGCCATGTTGCAAGCTGTGCCAAAGTGAAGATAAGCAGCATCCACTGCTGTCCCATGCTCCACTGAGCCTTCCTGGCAGAAGGCTGCTGTGTTAACTGAGCACGTTTTCCCGTTCATAAATCCATGGCTGCTCCCGATCACCTTCTTGTCCTCTGTGTACCTGGAAGTGGTTTCCAGCAGGCTTTGCTCCATCACCTCGGGGTGATAAGGTGAGACGGACCAGCCTGCAGTTCCCCAAATCCTCCTTGCTCTTTGTAAAGACAGCTATGACATTTGCTTTCTTCCAGTCCTCAGGAATCTCTCCCGCAGGTGCATCCCATCAGGTCCCATGGACTTGTGCACGCCCAGTTTGTTTAAACATTCCCTAACCTGAGCCTCCTGTGCCAGTGGCTTGTCCGCCTTGCTACACAGCCACCAGAGTATCCGCCACTCACAGGAGCCATGAAACAAAGCAGGGGGTTATTCTCTTTCTTATTTTGTCTTTTCAAGTTGCCTAGCGTCACACACAGTTGGATCTTTCTAAGCACGTAGAGTCCACTGGTCAAAGAAAATTTTGTACCAGTTTCACGTGCTCAAATCAAGTTGGTTTTCCAGTGTGATGCAAAGTTGTTGTAAAATGTAAGACCCACTGCCTGGAAGAAATAGCCTAGGACATCAACGTCCCCTCAACTGTCACCACTCAATGCAGCTTCTGAAGAGAAACTGTGCACGCCTCAGATCTCAATGACCCGCTGCTGACCACTCCGGTTTCCTCTCCTTGTCCCAGGAAATGACTGAACTACCCTACTGAGTAGGCAGAGTCCCTTGTTGCAAGGACTGTGGGAACACGCTGGGAAGTAGAGACACCCCCCCCCAGGGGCTTCAGCTGTCAGGTGCAAAGCAGATGCTTCCCATCGTGAAACTCCTACAGTGCTTTGCCATGTCCCTCTTCTAACTGCTCTTTCTTGCTGTTTAATAGCACATCACCTGCAGAACGCCCTCACTCTGGTTGTCATCTCATCACAAAAGCAGCTGTGAGCTATGGATCCTTCTCATCCCTTGTGCAGTTGCCTGTTCTTGGCTGTAACCACTCTTTCACCGCTTTTCAACGCAGAGCACCCCTAGGATGCTTCAGTTTCAATCCAGTAGCATTTTTCAAGTGGCACGATAGGCCAAACTGCAATTAACTGGCAGAGGCCATTGCTGGCCCCTGCTCTGTCAGACAAGGATTTGCTGTGCATGCTGTAACAACAAAAGCAGCTGCTGCACATCCCTTTATTTACATGCGACTAACGATGTGCTTCTGTTTTGAATCCAGCAATGCTAGCAGTGGAAAAAGCACACTGAGCTACTCCCTAGGCAAAGCACCCGCAAATGCCAGCGCAGTCTGTATTTGCACCAAAGCAAGCCAGCCTTCTACAATCTTGTTCTTCAAAGTTCAGTAAAAACCACTGAACATTCAGGTCACAACAGCCCCCTGTGAGGCCGCGTAAGCGCTGGTGTTACTATGCTCTGAAAGCAAATGTCTCCTGTAGAAGCAGGAACCAGTCAGACCCCCCAGGCCTCTGCTGTGTCCCCAGGGACTAGAGAACAGACATGCAGGGGAGCAGCCACCTGCCGAACCCCAGTCCCCAAGGGGAAGGGGAGCAGCACCATGTCGCTTCCGCGGCCGGAGCCCCTGCAGCCAACAGCTCAGAGGCACCGCAGCACTGGCACTGCTGCACCAGCACATCCCAGACCCCCCAAGAGACAAACACAGGGGTTTCCTGCAGCAAAGCGGCTCCTCTCAGGGAAGAAGCTAATTAAGCTGCACTCAGGGTGAAGCAGCCTAGTTTCAACACCCAGTCAGGCACCATTTTGCCAACCTCAAAACGGAACACAACTGGCATTTGAAAAGAACTTTATTTAAAATCAGAGATTATACATACTTGCCCCCACCACAATCACTTACAAAATACGAGCGTCCAAGAACAAGGAATGCATGTTACCTTGGTTCTGGGGCATGCTCTTGGCCGCGCTGGTTTACACCAGTCCCAATGATTTCATATGGAAATATGACAACTCATACAAAAGATCTGCTCCTTCACAGCTAACAGGCAATTAATTAATCTCTACAGAAACTTCTTTCTATTACTTCTAACGTAACCAGATTTTAAATTTGTCTTCTGATAAGAAACCTGAAAAAGGCAATCTTCCTGTAGCAACTGTGTATAACAGCAGGACTGATTTCAGACTGCCTTTGTGCACCACAACAGACGGCAAGAGGTCAACGCAAAGCCTGGGCCACCAGCAAGAACATACGATCAATAGCAGCATTTTCCACTGTGATCTCAAGTGAACAGTTGGCTACGGACGCAAGGAGCGCTTTTCCTTTTCTTTTTTTCTTCAGTATCACTAAGAAGGAACTGTGATCATCCATAGGGAAGCCGTTAATTACCGGATCCATCGTTAGATGAAATCAAATTGAAAGCAGGATTTACCTTAAATAGGATTAAATATATATTGCAAGACAGACCACACTCTGCAGACGCTGCACATAAAAGCAGAACTGTGGGCAGGAGGGGCAGGGTCCCTGTACCTGCACGAAACATTCCCATACAACACTGTAAAATGTAAAACTATCACCACTTGTTGAAAGTTGTCCAAGAAGTATTTACAGCACAGTCACGGCCCGCGGCCAGGAGAGGCTTGGTAAACCAGCAGCTCTGGCCTGAGCCACTCAGCAGTTTGTGAAACTTCAGCATTGGGTTATGTCAGAAACAGCTGCTGCTCGGTCATGCTGGTTTCTAATTAAGTAACACCCACTAACTCTATACAAACAAGCATCTCATATTTATTAGGACAAGAGGTATAGGATAAAGTTTTCCGTCGTGATAAGCGTTTGAGCGCTAACGCACTGCCACATGCTGCAGTAAGGACTACTCTACGCGTACAGAGAGGACGAGTCACTTCGGTAAGCTACAGAACGCCGCTCGGCCCAGCTGCTTCATTATGAACATGCTTCGCACTCCAGCTACTATAAAAAAATCCTGGCTTCCGACTTAAATAAAACCATTTCCAGCTATACAGAGACTTAAACAGATCTCGAGACCGGTGTTTACAACAGATGTCAATTCCTAAGTATCTACATCGCATACAGTTTAACATATCTACAGAGAACATGACTGTATACTTCACCGAATAAGTAGGTCCACGATTGTAGATCAACAATATAATTTTATTGCTTTATACATGTGGTGCTGTTCAAGGCACTGTGGCATGGGCTAGAAAACTCGGAATGACTCGTGAAGGGACCTGGAATGTGACACGGCCGATGCCGAGCACCGCTCCTCGGCAGCTGCTGCGATGAACCGGGGCTGACGGGGCGCCGGCCGGGGGGGACAGTTCATGGCAGCGCTGGGGGTGCGGACGGGCCTCGCCCGGCGACGGGCCCCTCACATGCCCATCCGGATGCTCTGGATGATCTGGAAGATGGCTGCAAGAGAGCAGAGGAGGGGAGCGCTCGCCGGGCAGCGCCCGCAGGGGAGGCGGGCAAGGCCGCAGCGGGCTGTCCTCGGGGGCCCGAGGGCA